GCTCTGAAGCCTGTGAAACGTGAAACGAATTGATATATTCTGATTTGCTAGTCCGGGCGGTTTCAGCTTTGAGCTTCTTCTGACCCTGTTCGGGCTTATTTAAACCTTAAAAAATCACATTGCTTCTGAGCGCTCAACAGAAAATGTATATACGGAGATTGTGAGGAAAATCACTTGCGAAATACTGCCGCCCCCGCTGAACAAGTGCAAGAGTTTCCCGCTAGTGATTTTCCTCAAAAGACCCATTCAGCAGAATAACTCTGTTTTGATCATTCGTAGGTGAAGCTCCTCTAGCTCAGGAATTGTGCGATGAAACAGGCGGAGTCCATCCAAGCTGGTTATTGTGGCTTTGCGTGGCATTCGGGGTTTTGTTCTTGATCATGTTGATCATCAATATTTTCCTATGCTCCGCCATGACTTGTGCCTGCGCCCGAACTGAGATAATCGAAAAAGAGCCGAGTATAATTGAAGATTACGACCCATACCGCAGTTGGCATGGAAGCCAGTATGGTTCCAGGTAAATTCCGCTTTACTCAACCCCTTTGGTTAATCCCCTAGACTAAGACCAAGTCAAATTCTCTTAGACAATGAAATGAGACTTGAACAGGAATTGTTTGCTTTACAGGGCCAGCCTGAGGATGACTCCCTAGGAGTCAAAACCGGTAGGCAATCAGTAACTATACCCTCTAATTCGATACTGACTTTGAAGCTTAACATTTCCAAAGTGTTTGCACTTCGCCTGGAATTATTCTATGGTCACCATCTATTTTTTGCAATAACGGGAAGTGCGAGCATGTTAGATAGGTGCTCAGTAGTTAGCTTGCATTCTTCAGAAAAAACCAGGAAATCTACATTTAACCCATTAAAAATCGCGTTGTTTTAATGGGACTAATTTCACTTTTCTGCTAGATTTTCGGTAGGAATTCAGTGCACGCTTCCAGCGAAATTTGTTAGTGGAAATGGCCAGTAGGAACAATGGATTTCAGGCCAATTTTTTTATTATTTCCCAACTTGTACCTCTTGAAATTTTTGAGAGTAATCATCCAAATAATCCCTCATAGTTTAACAAAGAGTTGAAAGAAATAACCAAAGTAAATCATAAATAAAAAACGAATAGCCCTTGGCCGTTGGTCCAGGTTGCGAACAAATCTCTTTTGAACCAGCAGTGAGCAAAATTTCAGTAAACCTCAACAAATTTCCATCAGTAACCCCCCTTTAAAGCTTCAATCAGATTCTTTCTTAATCCTTGATAATTTACATTCCCTATGGTGTTAACTAATCCTCATGCTGACTGATGAACCTTTGCCAGTTGCCAACCATTTTCTGCATTGTTTTTCTTTATAGATATTCGCTAAATGGAGCCCCTCAGCACCCCAAAGGCTACACATCTGGGGGCTCAACACTGAACTCAGCTAGGTCGATTTCTTCCCATAGCGATCATTATGCCATCGTCCATTCCCGACCTGGAAGCAGGGGATACAACACGAAAAGTCGGGGTCCTCCTTCACACATTGGAAGTCATTATAGCGGCAAATAATTTAGGTTTTCGAGTGAAATTTTGTGTAAAAACTACCTTTAGAAACTGGCAGCTTGTTGCTGATGCTCGTTGATTAAATTGTAAATATTGGACATGAGTTTAAGGAAATTTGAGTCATCAAAACTCTAGAAGATTTGATTGTTTACCGAAGAAAGCAAAACTGTAATAGACGTTAAACTAGAAACGATGTGGCATATATTTGTAGTCTAAGCTATTAATTGTTACCTTTTATATTTTTATATTTAATAGGTTTTCTGCAATGTTTTAACTGTGCTGATTCAGCAGCGAACTTGTAACCGGATAATTCTGTAAATCAATTATACCTTATTGCATTACAATTTGCAACAACCATATTGTATAAAGTCTGATAATTATGTAAAATGCAATTTTTCTCTGTACATAGAGCGTTGAATAAATTAACTCTATTAATATAAAGTTGTTTATTTATTTTCCTTAGCCGAAAATGTGTGCTCTTCTGTAAGTTTGAGGCTGTTTACAACTAGATATTGCTGGAAACATGTTAATGAATCCAAATGGGATATTTTAGTTAAAAAAAGCAATGACCCCCTATTTAAGAAGAGAACAAAAATGTAGTATAAGTTTATAATAAGAAAATAATATACATTTTCGGTTTTTGTTGTTTTGATTTTATGCGGTTTTTGTGCGTTCCCCAGCTTTAGCCGACGATTTTTTCCTTTATTATTGACTCAAACACTTTATAAATCTATATTTGTAATCTTTTTGCGTCAAAAGGAATCGATTGAGCTCAAAAAACCAGCATGTAAAATTTTGATTTTTGGTTGAAATTTTTCCAAGGGTGGGGGCCGATTATTTGGAAAAATTAAAATTTTCTCAAAATGTCTTAAATTTGACATCATTTTGAACTCACGGACGCGACGAATGCATCAAATTAAATGAAAAACATGGTAGAAGTTTCAGATCCGAAATAATAGACATTTTCGGCACATTTTAAGGGTTTTTTGAGCGATCACGATCTTAAACCGAGGATTTCTTCCTTATTATTAACTCAAACACTTTATAAATGCATATTTTTTACCTTTTTGCATCCAAAGGAATCGATTGAGCTAAAAAACCGACATGTAAAATTTTGAGTTTTGGTCGAAAATTTTCCAAGGGTTGAAGTCAATTTTTTTAAAAAATGAAAATTTTTTCAAAATGCCTTATATTTCACATCATTTGGAGCTCACGGACGCGACGAATGCATCAAATTAATTGAAAAACATGGCCGAAATTTCAGATCCGAAATAATAGACATTTTCAGCACATTTTAACCGTTTTTTGAGCGATCACAATCTTTAACCAAGGATTTCTTCCTTATTCATGACTCAAACATTTTATAAATGCATATTTGTGACATTTTTCGTCGAAAGGAATCGATTGAGCTCAAAAAACCGACATGTAAAATTTTGATTTTTGGTCGAAATTTTTCCAAGGGTGGGGGTCGATTTTTTGGAAAAATAAAAATTTTCTCAAAATGTCTTAAATTTTACATCATTTTGAGCTCACGGACGCGACGAATGCATCAAATTAATTGAAAAACATGGTAGAAGTTTCTGATCGATAATCGATCGACATGTAAAATTTTGATTTTTGGTCGAAATTTTTTCAAGGTTGGTCGGTTTTTTGAAAAAATTTAAATTTTTTCAAAATATCTTAAATTTTACATCATTTTAAGCTCACGGATGCGACGAATGCATCAAATTAATTGAAAAACGTGGTAGAAGTTTCAGCTCCGAAATAATAGACATTTTAGGCACATTTTAAACGTTTTTTGAGCTATCACGATCTTTAACCGATGATTTCTTCTTTATTCTTCACTCAAACACTTTATAAATGCATATTTGTGACTTTTTTGCAGCGAAAGGAATTGATTGAGCTCAAAAAACCGAGATGTAAAATTTTGATTTTTGGTCGAAAATTTTCCAAGGGTGGAGGTCGATTTTTTGAAAAAATAAAAAYTTTCTCAAAATGTCTTAAATTTTACATCATTTTGAGCTCAAGGACGCGACGAATGCATCAAATTAATTGAAAAACATGGTAGAAGTTTCAGATCCGAAATAATCGACATTTTAGGCATATTTTAAAGGTTTTTGAGCTATCGCGATCTTTAACTGATGATTTCTTCCTTATTCCTGACTCAAACACTTTATAAATGCACATTTGTGACATTTTTCGTCGAAAGGAATCGATTGAGCTCAAAAAACCGACATGTAAAATTTTGATTTTTGGTCGACATTTTTCAAAGAGTGGGAGTCGATTTTTGAAAAAAATTTAATTTTCTCAAAATGTCTTAAATTTTATATCATTTTGAGCTCACGGACGCGACGAATGCATCAAATTAATTGAAAAACGTGGTAGAAGTTTCAGATCCGATATAATCGACATTTTCGGCACATTTTAAGCGTTTTTTGAGCAATCACGATCTTTAACCGAGTATTTTTTCCTTATTCTTGACTCAAACACTTTATAAATGCACATATGTGACCTTTTGCATCGAAAGGAATCGATTGAGCTAAAAAAACACGCATGTGAAATTTTGATTTTTGGTCGAAATTTCTCAAAGGGTGGAGGTCGATTTCTTGAAAAAATTAAAATTTTCTCAAAATGTCTTAAATTTTACATCATTTTCAGCTCACGGACGCGAGAAATGTATCGGCTCATTGAAAAACATGCTAGAAGTTTCAGATCCGCATTAACAGACATTTTCGGCACATTTTAAGCGTTTTTTGAGCGTTCATGATCTTTTGCCGACGATTTTTTCCTTATTATTGACCCAAACACTTTATAAATGCACATTTGTGGCCTTCTTACATCAAAAGGAATCGACTGAGCTCAAAAAACACGCATGTAAATTTTTCTAAGGGTGGCTTTGAAAAAAAATCGACTTTTTGCCTTGTTCCTGCCAATAAATGCTTGTGGTTGCCCCTTTAACGGCTCGGATTCAGATCGTTTTATGTAAAGTACCACCATGAAGGAGCGTGTTGATTGCGGTAAATATGGGTACCCGATAGAAATGTACCGGTCGAACAAAGAACGACATCTGTAGCGGCAACAATTAACGAGCTAGTCCTAAACGTGAGACGCGATATCTTGCTGTTATCTGAAGATGTTATCTCGGTAGTATCACCCACGCCTTGGGCACCTATCCGGAGGTCAGCGCGGTACCACCTCATGGTACTTTGGTGCTCTTTTCTTCAGTCCTTGGCCGACACCGTTCGCAACGGCGGTTCAGATTCGATGCCATGACCGCAAGTTCGCGATTCATCACGTACATTTTCTTCGCGGGGTTGATGCAGGCGAAAATCATCCTTGTACATGGTGGTAAGTTAGTCATCCACCTTCACTAAAAATTCGCTACTCAACTTTCCTTGAAACATCCAGGGCTCAGTCTTTCGATCGTACTCAAACAGATTGAGAACAATTTCAAAGTAAAGTGGTTTGTGGAATAACCGCAAAACTGGCCCTTTTGAAAGTGCTTTGATTTGTGTGATTTTTTTTATAAAGAGTGCATGATTTGTAAAGCGTTTTAAGCGCAATTGATTTTTCCGTATTTTGACGCCTTTCATACTTTTAAGGCCGGTTTCCTTTCGTTAAAGTGTACGGCAAAAAAGATTAATCAGTTTCTTCAATTTTTTAAACATGTGTTACAAAATTAATCAAAACATGCTCAAAAACACTTTGTGTCGATGCAACAGGGTGTAAATAAAGCTGGCTGTAATAAACCTTCTAGTGCAATTTATTTTTATCAGTTTCACTTCAAAAAAGTTAAAGCATACTTTCATACCCAAAACGTTTAAAAATTGAACTTATTAAGAGTGCAAGTACAAGTCGGGCCATTAGCCTGGCACAAACAAGCAAAGCACATAAATAAGCCATTCGATCCTGAACATTAATTAGAATGACCATGCAATGGCAAAATTTGGCTAAAAGCATTGTTTTTAGCCTAAAGATGTTTAAAAACCGCAATTAGCAGGTAAAAACTGTGTGCAATTTTCCATTTCAGTCGCAGTTGAAAACAGCACATTTTATTGTCTAATCTGAACTTATACAGTGTTTTAGCTGTTTTTCTAAGCCATTGAGGGATTTGAAAATTGAGAGAACATCTAAGCTTAAGCAGGAAACTTTTCTTACTTAAGAAATAAATTGTTGAACAGTACCATTTTGTATGGTATTTTGAGGCAACAAACAAGCAAAAATAAAAGAGCGTATATGAGAGAAATTAAGTATCTGTATTATCAACAACTGAAAACGCACCCAAGAAAACCATTGCAAAATTGTCAATTTAGCTGTGCATTTTCTGCTTGAATTGACTTGCCAATAATTGCATTTCCATTGGTGGATCATAAGTAATAAAAATTAAAAACTAATTTACAATACACGGTGATCGGGTTCTGGGCATGATATTGAATGATGATTAGTGGCAGTGATTTATTTCGTCCAACAAACCACAGCAGGAATTGGTCTCAGATTTTAATAAGTTTTTTGCCTGATGCAGGTGCGCGATACCAGATTTATACAACAAGATATGCAAATGTTGAATTATAATATACACAGGCCATGATACGCTTATACCAGCAAGCACGACTAATAGGGCTAAAGCCGCTAATTGAAATTTATCTTCGGAGAATCGAAATAAATCCGAGTTCGTTTTCATAATGTTCAACAGTTTCCAATGAACTTTACACCTGAGTATCGTTTTACATTTTACACGTACCCAAACAAAAGATGCAACGGCGGAAAAATGCAAAAGGCGAAACGGGCTTAAGAGCGCTTAAAAGAACGGTCAAAGTGATTAAAGTCTGTAGAGTATGGAGGACATGTGTCATCGCGCTCCGAGCGTTTCGCTTTTTGTTTGTAGCGTTTTCCTCGTCTACGCAATACGGAACAATTAAGTGGCTAGGTCGAAGCCCTTTTGACAATACCGTTAAAATAGCCATTTACTACAAGTTCCTACAGGTGTTGCGTAAGTCACGATTGCCTATGCAAACAATCATTTCATTCCTTTTGTCCCAGTAACTTTTATTCGTTCATAATTATATGATCAGTTTTTTCGGGGCTGCACCATCTGATTGTCTTTGGACTATTGTTCTGCGAACATGGAGCTACACGAGGGGAATTAATCAGAAGGGGCGTTACAGGTCATTTGCTTTCTGCACTTTTCACTTAAATGTTTTTGTGCTTCTACATATAAGCTTTTTGAATTTTTTAAATAGTTTTATTCACGTTTTTCTACCTCAATGTTTCCGCTTTAAAACATCAATTTTTTCCTTGTTTCTATGGCATTTATAAAAGTATATTCATGCTTTTTGGCTGCTCCAACGTGTGGGTGTTTAGTTGTTGACCCCATTCTATTAAAACGTTTGCTAAAATTGCAATTAAATAATGAGTTCAATTTTTCTACGCAAGTTTTACATTTTTCTGTATTTTTGCAGCTTCATTCAATTTTTAGAAGGCGCATTCATGTATGTCGTTGTTTTACTTAGTCGATATTTCATATTTTTCCAACGGATTGCCGCTGTTTATAGTTATGCAGACGCTTGCTTAATAAAATCTTTTTGGATTCGTTAAAATAAAGCGTTTGTTCATGAAAGTTTATATGACTTTTATTGTAAGATTGCAAATTATTTCTCTAGTTGCTTATTAAATGTGTAATCGACGGTATAAATAGCATCAGATCAGATGGTACTTCTTGCTTCTACGTTAACAAGTTTTATTGATGGCACATTTATAATTTTTTGTTTATGGTTTCTTCTCAAATATTTTCACTTTAAGACATGAATTTTCTCTTCATATTCCTTGTTGTCTGCTTCAATAGTTGGGCTTTACATATCGATCTCGTAAAGCCCGAGTATTAAAAAAAACGATTAACAATTTCTGCCCCTTTTGTACTTTTGGCAGTCTAGTTTAATTTTTAATAAGCACATTTCGAAGTATTTTCTCTAAGTTTCTCAACAGGTCGCCGTTTTTTATATTTTTATCGAATTTTCTAAGTACTTACTTAATGAAAGCTTTTTCGGCTCTGTGAATAGCATCGGTCATACCAAAATATGCGTATAATAAGGCATTTTTCCATGAAAATATTTAGGTGTTTTTTGCTTGTATGTTTGCATTTTTTTTCCTAGTTGCTTAACAATAGCTCAATCTACCGTGAAAAAAAAACATCAGATTTGCCAAAATGACCCTTAAAATAAGTCGCTCAAGCATGGAAATCATACGGTGCTTTCTGTTTCTAAGTTAACAAGTTTTATTGTTGCCATTATGATAATTTTTATTCACGTTTTTCCACCCAAAGATTTTCGCTTTGGGTCTTTTCGCCTCATTTTTCATTTTTTCACTTGTATTTATGGCATTAAAAAAATAGTTTTTGCTCTCCTGCTTCAAAATTTGGGTTTCTAGATATCGACCCCATACAGCCTGATTCTAAGAAAATTGCTTATTAAAACGAAAATTAAAGAAATAGTTTTTGCATGATTGATTCTCGTGTGCAAGTTTGCTTACAAACGCGAATTATTTCTCAGTTTCTGCATAAATGCTCGATCGACTGTGTGAACAGCATTAGACGTACCAAAATGCCCTTAGAGAACAAAGCGTTTATGCCTGAAAGTCAAAAGATTTTTTCTTTGTAAGCAAGTTATTTTGCCAAATTATTCGATTCGAGGAATTTCAAATCCCAAAAAAATTATAATTTAAAAACATAAATTGAAACTTTCTGCCAAATTTTTGGGCCAAATTGTTCCATTTTCAAAATAGTCGCCTGTAAAAGTTCGACTTGTCGATTTTGCTAACGCTATTCAGACAACTTTTGAAGACGTTTCCAGAGAAGTTTTCTCAATTAGTTTACTACTTGTTGCGTACTTTCAGCGCCTTTTTCCAAATATTTTTTTCCTTACAATTTGTTCTGTGTTGTTCAAAAATTCTTCAAAATCAGCATCGTCGTGCCGAAGCCAAATTATAGGGCCAAAAAAAAATCGTTTCCTTTCAAACATTTTCATTGTTAGTCACTCAATTCTCGTGCCTGCAGATTTTTTAATTAGTTCGCATTTTAATTGAGAAGCAACTTCATCAATCGCTTCCTCACATTGAACCATCTTCTCAAACTTCTCACTTGCAGCCTTTCTTCCCATGCAAGTTTCTCATCTAAATAAATGACTTCGGGTAAAAAGGGCACCACCACACTTGATCTATTAGATCCCAAATTAGATCAATTGCAAACATTAGTATGTATGAGACGGGATGATGAGAAGAGCAACAAAAAACCATCGACAATAATTATTCTGTCGTTCTGCATCGACCAGAACAATCAAATCACTAGTTGCATGCACAGTTTCAAACTCGCCGGCTTTTCTATTCATGTATTCCTGACTCTGCTGCATCAAGATAATAAATCTTCTGCAAAAGACAAGCCGCTGTTTTGGTGTGGTCGGCCACACTAGCGATTTTACCTTCAGGCCGGTAGGTGTTGGCTGAAGAAATTGACTCAAACCAATCGACATCGCTATCGATCATCCGTTAGATCTAATCATCAAAACTGTTATTTAATCAGTTTTCTATGTCTGCACGGAAAACATGGCACTGATCTAGTTTGATTAAAGATGAATGGGAGAATGTTCCGCGAAAAGTCTGCTAATCAGAGTTGTTCTCAGAAGGATCCTAAGAATAATTTCACGGTGGACAATGGGAAAACAACTTGTTAGCAAACAGCTACCTAAACTCAGACAACTATTCTGGAACCCGTGTTTGTTTAACTTCTCCTTTACCTTAATATCTTTAATTCATATCCCCATTTAATTGAAAAATTGCTCGTTCTCACCACCCCAATTAAGCGCTTGAGAGTGAGTGGCTGAAAACTTAATGAGACGCTCTTACTTAGTTCTCAGGACCTTGTTACTATTTCGCATTCGTTAACGTATCTTGAAGCCCGTCGCTGTTAATTAACGAAAAAACATAGAAATTATCATTATTTATCAAATAATTATTATTATATACTCAAGCACATGTTTCTCTCAGCATTGTTAAGCCGATGGCTACATGATATTGCGTTATTCCTGTGAGATGACTTTTTAATATTTATAATAACTGTACGTTATACGTCTTATATTGTCTTCAGCTGCACAAAGTGGAAAATTTGCTTGTTTCAGATTGCTGGTACGACAGTAAGAAGCACGAGGAAAATTCGGAAGTACTCACAGGGGAACCTTGCCTGAACTGCACCTGCAGCAGAGGCGCCTTGTTGTGCTACTTGAGAGTGTGTCCAAAGCTGCCCAATCCTCCACCACCAGGCTGCATTTTACTGCACAGATTCAAAACATGCTGTCCCGAGCTGATTTGTTCAGGTGGGAAGCTTTTAAACGAGCAAACTGAGTCTAATCTAGGTTCTCATCAAGATTTCCATGATGGGGGCAACAGCGTGGAAGCCAGAGCGGAACCGCACGCCAATCTGGACGTACCCTCCGATGAGAACAACTTGTATGAGAATGGTTAGGAAAATTCTACCTAAGCAAAGAAAAAATGAGTTTTTCGGGCCTTCGTTGCGCATTAAAGCTCCCAGCAAGGCTGAAAGCACGGAAAACTCACCATTTTTTCCACTTAATAATTACAAATGGGTTCCGCAGCTTGCATTTCAAATGGGAGCATTTACGGTTCGGGTTCTGCAATGCACAGTTCCTCAATGTGCGAATATTGTTACTGTTTATCCGGCAAGCAAGTGTGTGTTAAGCCCAAATGTTTACTGTTCATCGAGGGCTGCCAGCCCATCTATGAGACATCCAGCTGTTGTCCTGTTAGGTGAGTGGCTGCAGTGCTTGTGTATTTTAAAAAAATATATATTTTTCCTGTGGGGAAAAACAGATATAACTGCACTCGCACTTTAACAACACTGCAAGTGGCCACGCAAAAGCCTTCCACTACTACTGCTGGTTACGAGAAAAAGACTCCCGTCGGGTGTAAGTATGGAAAATTGGGACTTAGTTGACTTTGAATAATTCCCAACCAATCAAGTATTTTCTGAATTCCTGCAGCTGGATGTTTAGTGGAAAGCGCTTACCATCCCGAAGGATCCAAAGTGGTGGGAATCGGACACTCTGTATGCGATAACTGTTACTGCTTGAGGGGCCTGTTGAGGTGCGAACCTCTGTCCTGTGCCCCGCCCCTTTTGGGCTGCACCCCCGTGGTGAAATCTGGGGAATGTTGCGCTGCTAGCTATAATTGTAGTAAGTAAGTTTACTTCTTCTGTTTCCTAAAAATCCTTCATCTAACCGATAGAAAACGCGTGCTGCATCAACTGCAAAGTCCTTCAAGAGTCGTGGTGTTTTGCGTTTTCCAGATGGTACTCTTGAAGTGGAACCCGAGCCCAACTATGGCCTGTTTCCCATCATCAGCAAAGAGTACTCAAAACTGCGCAAAGAAGTTAACAGACAATCTGCAGATGGAGTGGTGACAGGGGCACCTTTTTACGTGCAAGTTGAAGATATTTCAAAAGCCACCCCGAAATTGGGGGTGCAGCGCAGCCCTGAAACGTTTGGAACCACCAGGCAGTTTTTCAGCGCAAATTTCCAGCCAAGCAGCACTCAGAAGCCACTTGGAGATACAGCTGAAGACGATAAGTTTTTCCTCATCAGCAGTTCGAGGCACAGAAGCTCGACAGAGAGGAATATCGTTTCGTCCGAGCCACCCAAAAGCGACGATGCAGACTATTTTGGAAGTTTGAACATTTTCGACCTTGTCGGCTCTTTGCTCGATGGCAAAAGCTACCGGAAAGTTGACACTATTTCAGCAGAAGATCTGAAGAACTCCCTAACAGAGGATGGCATGAGTGCGTCCACTGAACCCTTAGCTACACGGGCAACAACGGGTTTTCCGGATTTTTCCACCAATGAGCCCGACAGCACTGAAACAGGTCTGGCAATGAGCACAACTGAAGAAAGCGATGATTTGGTGACAGTCACTGCTATCCTCAATTCAACCGACTGCAACAACGGCATTGAGAGCCACTTCAAGAACGGTTGGGCAGTGAAATATTCTGTATTTTTTTGTTGATTTTTGTAATTTTTCAGATCAGCCAGTAGATCCGATTGAAATCAATCACTTGGCAGAAGGTCGCACTGACTTGGTGGCCACCAGCACGGATTTTCAAACGGAAGATTATGCATATTTTTCCTCGCCGGAAAATCTTCCAACTGAAGAAGTGGATTATGAGAGCCCCAACGGGAGGAATAGGGTGAAAATTGGGGGTTCGAAACTGCCCCCAGACATTGAGGCGATTTTAAACATCACCAACCAGAAAATCGAAGACTTCGACTATGACTACAAGGAACCAACGTTGCCTCCGTCGTTGCCCAATTTGAAGTCAGTTGAAGCGCTCCTCATTCATCTCCGTATCTTCTGCTAATCTGGAAACGCATTTTGCAGGATTATCCCGTTTCTGGCCACGGATGCTCTGGATGTTATCAAGGACTCCCCCAAAGACCCCACGGACCAACTTGAGGACAAAGCAGACAACATGGAACTGGAACAGAGTTCGAATTTGTTCAAGCCTCCAGTAAAAACTGAAGGTATTCACGCGTCCTCCATTGAGGCAGGATTATCTGAGTATCCTGCGTTGCAGGTGGATTTGTGCCAAAGGCTCCCAGCACTGATTCGTTTTACAACAGCATTTTTGCAAAAAAACCTCCAGTCAAACATGTGGAGCCGGACGCAAGCGTTAAAGGTAGGAAGGACTTTTTCTGGCATCCTCCTCATTGACTGGACGTACTTTTAGTGACCAACTGCCTTTCCAGAGGCCAGGAAATCGCGCACGGCATGGAAGTCCCCTCAGATTTACCCTGCGTGACTTGTAGTTGCTTTTTTGGAAATATAGCTTGTCAAAAGGTGACCTGTCCTCCTCCGGAGCCTGGATGCTCCAGAGAACCGGCAGCGCTTTGCTGCCCCAATTACGCCTGCAGTGAGATTTCCTGCCCAGTAGATTGGTTTAATTACCGGTTAAATCACAGCCCAATTCCTTTGCAGATCAGCAGAAAGTGCCACTTTTGGAGCCGGCAAAGTTGCCGCAGGAAATCGTCCCTGTGGCCGGGGGAATGGTGCAGTTGGCTCCCTTCAAGGATGTCATCAGAACGGAACCAGCCCCAAACCTGCAGAGTTTAATTGGAGACCGAGCTTCGCTTCAAACCACCAGCAGCTCCACACCAGCCACTCTCGCAGGTAAAAGGAGATTGAGTGAAACACTGCCTTTGCTATAGTTTTCCTGGTTTGGCAGAGTTGAGCTCTGATCGACCAACAACAGCAGCTGCAGACAAACAGCCAGAATCCAGCTTTGACGAGCTGCTGAAGTTCATCTTCTCGGGAACACCCGATGTAATCGAAAAACCAATCAGCCACAACCCGTCTTTAGACAAAAACAAGCCCACAGTTGTGCAAATCAAGTCGGTATCGCCCACTGATGAGAAACCCGAACTGCAGCTAATCAAGCCAATCAACGACAACACTCTGGATGGTTCGGGAGCTGACGTGAACAAAACCGAAGCTGTTTGCACCAAATGCGATGAAGCTGAAGACTCCCCAGCTGGGACAGCTGCAGAACACCAGCCAATGGGGTCGAGTTCCAAAAAAATAGCAAAAGGAGATCAAAAGGGCAGCTTAGTGGGCGTGGGTCTGCTGAAGCTGGCAGGATGCAACATTTACGGGCGCATGTACAGGGTGGGCAGGATAATTTCCGAGTTATCAGGGCCTTGTTTAGAGTGCAAGTGTACGGAAGTGGGGGTGCAATGTATTGAGCTGAGATGTACAAAAAATAATGGAAAAATTAAAAATTGAAGTGCCCAATCTGAATGAGTGGATGGTTTGGGGCATTTCCAGCGATTCCTTTTCTAGAGGTGTTCTGTATAAAAAAGATGAGTGGATAGAGCTGATGTTAGACGTAAGAGCAAGATCTTGCCAGTATTTTTATGGTGTTTGTTTAGGAGTTTGGAAGTATGCAAGGTGGACAGGAGTCAAATTAACGTTTTAGCCACCTCAAATATGTTTATGGGATAGTGATCAATGTTTAAAAAATTGAGCGAATTGAGACTTTGAGGAAAATGCAAATACTTTTGCCACTTTGCATACGGTAATATTAGATTGTACCTCTTAACAAGCCGGACTTCACATGCATAATTCATCAGTTTTCAAGAGTCTTACATCATTTGATAAATTATTCGGGAGTTGAAGCAAATACGACTGGGAGATATTTTTGATTGAATATACAGCTTTTATTTTTAGGTTCGATGCAAGACTTTTGCCACTAAACATTAATTTATTCCACATTCATTCGTCCATAGGATTGTGCCATTCATACATTAATTATCACCATAGTTCACTTTACCATAGAATTTTACGCAATAGAATAAGAGGCTATAAATGTATAGGAACCAAAATCCACTCGTAGTTTTAACGCAAATGTCGATTTTTGCAAAAAATTCATTGGGTTGAAGAAATTCAATATTCACCTTTCTAAAAATGGAACAATGTTTGAAGGTGCGCATATTTTTAAATTGTTAATTAGACAAATGTATTGCGAAATGTGCACGCTTAAAATAGGCTGCTTAGGTAAAATAGAGGCTAAACAGGATTCTGAGCAATCGGACATAAGCAAAATATTATATAATCTTTGTGAGAAAGCTTGTGTCTGTTTTATTTTAGACTTTCAGACTATTCTTGGGTGTTCTACCATCCACGTCTGGCAAACTGATGTTTAACAAACTCACCTTAACCATTCTTCAAAAAAATCAGTTATGAACAGAACACTTTCAAGTTTAATTTGCGCTTTCGCTTTCATTTTTCAGGCTGCTTAATACGAAAATAATGATTTAAATTTAGCAGATGCTGCGAATTCAGCCAACTGCTCACTTTTTAATTTTCATTAGGAAGATGGCTTGAAACTGATATGTGCCTATTAACCTATTACCTCATTTTTGCACCGAATCAACAGTGTAAGTGAAGGATAACAGAAAAATATGCCGATGCAATTGCTAGTAGGAGTCGCTAATTGCCCCAAGCGTGTATGGCTTAGATATGTGTAATTTATATATAAAATATCCTCTCAGTGGATTAGTCTGGCGTGGTTATTAAAAATTAATATTTGCTTCAACCGGTCGCTCCACACACCAAAAGATTATTTTAAAATGGGGAACTTTACAAGTTTTTCGGTATGGAAACTTGAATTGGATTTTCCATTATTTTGTTCCTGAGATGTGCAAGTGCCTAGTGGAGAAATGGAAGGTTTGTATAGTTTTATATTAAACCTAGAAGGT